TGACCTCGTTCACTTTCAACGAGCCTCGCTTATTTACTCCTCACTGCATAAGCGACGTCCAAACGCAACTTCTTTTTCTAATAAACACGCTCTCGAATAGTTATAGTACGGGCCACGATATAACGAGGTCGTAAATTCAATCCTCGAACTGCGGTACTGAATGATGTCGCTGCACTTAGGGGCTGCATAGTTGGTGGAGGCGATATAACGAGGTTGCAAATTAAAGCGTTAAAGCCACACACAGAGGCGTTCGTCTTTTGTGAATTGATATTTAACTCTTTCGTTACCTACGGTGACTATAGTCATTAAAGGTGTGCGAGAATTTGAAAAGTTCGGTTGAGTCGGGGCGAGAATTTTTCTCGGGATCGGGTCGGGTTCCTGAAAGTATCTCGTGAGTCGAGAATGTCGGGATTCTGGAGAATTTCGGGAACTAGCTTTAATACGACCATAATATGCACCCTAAGTTAGTCCCGAAACGTGATTCGGGTTCTCGAAATTCTCGAGTCGCGGGATACTTTCGGGAACCCGACTCGGCCCGAGTATCGGGTTCTCGTACTTACATCTCTAATAGTAACCCATCGTCGAGCTCTCGCTATAACCTATCGATGATTATAGTAACCCATCATCGAGCTCTCTCTATATTCTACCGATACCTATAGTAACCCACCGTCGAGCTCTCGCTATAAGTTTACCAGTGACTATAGTAGCCCATTGTCGAGCGCTTGCTATATCCTCCCAACTATATGTATATAGTAACCCATGATAATTTCGAGTATAGCACAGCTCGATATCTCCAGAGATTTTTTACTCATTTACCGATCATCGCACCTCTAGTGTACACTAAATTCACATCAATTTTTGCTCGAATACTCAAGTGGAACATATGCGTTCCACTGGTTGCGAAAGGGTTAAACGATCCGTCGATTTGCTCGCTTGTTTTTCTTTATCACTTAGAATGCAGCGGCAAGAAAAAGATTTCTCTTGATAACGGGGCAAGAACACGCCTCGGGTGTCTCGAAATTCTGCACAGCGATTTTTCCACAGACAGCGGCGACCCTCGAGCAAGCTTCTTCTTTCGCCGCGTTCGTTCTCGTGTTCTGATGCAGGCGCACGTGCGGCTGCGGTTGTAATCCGCAGTTCGCGTGTGAGTACTCCACGGGAGAAACAGTTTTGCCGCGTCTGGAACGTCGAATCGATATTTGTTCAGCCCTTGCCCCTGACGACGAGGCCACTTTGTGTTACATTTTTGCGGCTGGATTAACATCGGAGGCGCGTTGCTTGTTTTCACTCGACGATGTTACTTCTTTGCGAATTTCTCGCGATTCGATTCCGTTTCGCGGAATATTTCGCTTCCTTTGAAATGTTGGAAATTGTTCCAATTCGAAATTTTTCGTGGTCGTTTGATTTATACAGGGTTGCGCTATAAACACTCTGCTTTTTCTAGAATAAATCTAGAATAAATCGCTTAATTTCATGCGAAAATCCTTTATTTATTGCATGATGATTTATTATGTAGTTCCATAATAATAGTGTGTAATTACTGTTTGGTAAATTATAGTAAAACCGACAAACAGATGATTCTTCGTAAGAAAAATGAGCATTTAATAATTGAGAACGTGAAATTAACAATGCTACATGTCTAAATTAAATTAATTCAATGCAATGTTTAAGTAGTCTCGATCTCTTATTTTATAAAATAACACGAAGCAATTACTTTCAGTAATGATAAATAAATTACTTTCACAATTTAAACATTCGAGTGCTTCGATAACCCACTTAAAACGAACAACAGAGTTGAACAACCTTAATTTCACGACTTACGTCCATTACTCTCGGCTCATATGCAGTCACCGGTGTGTCTCGCAATTTTTCCGAATGTAATATAATTTATGGCTGTGACAAATCGCCGGGCAACACGCGTTCTTCACATTCGTCGGTTACAGCGTTACACAATCGTTGCTCGTCGAAAAATTACCTTTTCACACGGCTACGTACAGTTAAATTCGACTATTTCACGAATCTACTGGATGATGAATAAATATTTAAAAAAGAAAACACGTTTTTATTTGCAAAACGTTGATCCTGCGATATGATTTTCTACTCAATGGGAATTATTGTACGTTGGAAATTATTTTCTGATCGCCAATCGTTTCAGGAAGTCACGTCTTCGTTTCCTCATTAACGAGCGTGAGAATACTGTGTTGCAGCTGTTGTTTCCCCATGAATCTGACGGATTAACAGCTTTATCGGCAAAATGATCCGTTCGATGTAATAAGCGTAGGCGTACGGTCAGGATTCACGTGATAGTGGATTTAGTCGAATGATTTATGAAACGTTTATTACTCTCGTCGTAAAGACAGCTCGCCTAACGAAAATCACGTTGCCCTAGCAAATCGTGAGCGCATTGAACTGAATAAAACTTTTGTATAGACGCCTACGTGACGACATCAATTTCTATTTTATTACTCTAGTAGGAATATTTGCATTTTTTCACCTTATTAAGTGTGGTTGGTGTTTGTTGAACTTATTTCAAACCATCTGCTGATGGATCTTTTAAACGTTTCTTACTGAAGTGTAAGCTCAGATTATTTAAGAAAATATTGGTAGAAAAGGGGTTAATCCTCAGTGGAGCTGTTGAATTTTTGGCCGAAATTAAAAGTTAATACGAATTTTAACTTTCAGAGAAAATAAAAATTACAAAAATGAAGTTATAACGAATCGATAAGGAATTATAGAAAAAAAATTACGAGACAAATTTTTGTTTTTTTTTTTTGCAAGTTAAAATTTATATTTGAACGAAATATTTGAAATTCATCGAGAAACTAGTATTTAACATACTTCAACTCTAATTATAAGATATGAAAGTAATAACAAATAAAGATCGAGTAACGTTATCTAAATAGATCATCCGAAATTGCAATTTCAAAAATTCCAACAATCTGCAGTACTCGTCATTATTTCCTTACTTCGTCTGTTAAGAAACGAGCCAAAGGGTTAAGTAATTACACGACAAGTAGAGCACGTGAGGATATTTTTCACATACCTAATTTATCGAATTGCATCAATCCTACACAGCTTTTTCCCCTTATATTTTACATGCTTCTTCGGCCTCCACTAATATCTCGTGAATTGAAGCCAGTGACATGTGAGTAATCGGTACCAGTTGCGTTTCAACAGCGACAGCTCCTTTGAGACCCGATGATTTCGAAATTAGGTAATTAATTTAGAGGAGTGTCGTGAGCATAGTTTCCAGATGACGACGGTCGCCTCTCGGTCCCTGCACGTATTCCAACCCCTGATCGCTCGAAATGGTGGCCGTTTAGTTGCCTAACGCAACATAGACGCGTTTTGAGTAATGACATTAAGCATGGAAATATAAATCGTCGACACGTGCACGCTAACTTTTCCTCTATTAGATCTGCACTTTTTGCTTCGCCTGTATCGTCACGGTGCATTTATAACGTGATCAGATGGGTGCAAGAAGTGTCTGATTCCATTCGTGTTTTTCTGAAGTTTCTTAAGTATGTTAATACGTTTGGTTCGTTTAACTAGTTGGGAAAAGAAATTGAACTGTTTGCCAGAAGGTATGCAAAAAGTAATCTGAATAAATGAGTTAGCAAATAAGTTGTGTAAAGTATTTATCCTGAAAATATTACAGGGAAAATGTGGGAAAGATTTAATTGGAAACAATTTCTAGAAGAACTTTGTACAAAAATAAATAATAAAACAAGTATTTAGTGAAAAATGAAATAATTGGGGTTTAATAAGAAAGTAGCAATGGAGTTTTTAAATACAATGTGTTATCTTGGATATCCAGGCTTCTCACATCGCGATTGCAACTGGATAAGAATGATATCAGCAAGGAATATCGCTTAGCTCCTTTTACCTGTAAAGGTAGATACACACCTGGCTATGGAAGGAATACATTTTTCTAAATTTGCAAAAATACTCTTTATAAAAATATTTCCATAATATTGCGGGAACCTTAAAAACAGAAATCTAAACAAGTACCATTCATAAATTCTAACCTACAAAAGCATTTCCCAAATTTACAGTTCCCTTAAATTATCCAGCATCTCCGAAATTCATAATTCCTCCGAATCATTTCTTCTTCAATTCGAAAATTCCTCTGATACCACGATTTACTTAAAAAAAAAAGAAGAAAAGGTAACTTAATGTCACCTATTATACAAAAGCATCCCTTAAGTTCATAGTTCTTCTGAATTATCCATCATCTCTTAAATTCACAGTTCCTCTGAATCATTCCTTCTTCAATTGATGAATTCCTTTGATATCATGATTTACTTAAAAAAAAAAAAATGGTCTTAATGTTACCTACAAAAGCATTTCCCAAATTATCCAGCATCTCCTAAATTCACAATTCCTCCGAATCATTCCATCTTCAATTCATAAATTCCTCAGACATCACAATTTACTTACAAACAAATGCTCTTAATATTCCCTACAAAAAGCTTACCCAAGAGAAGCAATCGCTCAATTCCCACCAGACCATACAATCCTCCTACAAACTCAGATTCTCCAATCTCCATGCGTCTCGTGCTCATTTGAAACTGATAAATCTAAAAATCTGCCCGTACAAATATCCAAAGCCTAGTCATCAATCTTCCTCTCCAGGCAAACAGTAGGTACCTACTTTTGCGAATCCGTTCTCGAACCGAGCTTCTTCAGGGACGTGTATGCGTGCGTGTGCAGCCAGCTTAAGGAGTAATCCTTCGGACGATGAGTCCCCCCGGTCAGATTCGCGTCTCGGATGCACGCGAGAATTATCGATCGTTATCGAGCGTTAGCCGTGGGGCATGGATCGCGTCGCGCTTCCTGTTGCGCCCTTTCACGGCCAGATAATTGACGCGGCTACCATTATTCTTATTGTCGCTGGCTGGCTGGCTCTCTTCTCCTCTACAATGACCGCAGCGCCTCGCTGTCTGATCTCACCGGCCTTACTCACCTGGTACCATATCTTCTTTTCTCTATTTTCACAGAGGCCGAATGCTGCGTTGGCGAAGCTGCCGGAGAGGCGTGCTGGGAACCTTGTTACTGCGTCCTCCTGCAGGATGAACAGACCCTCACGGCTTACAGGAGCGAGGACATGGCCGTGAGTACACTTTCTCTCTGTCTTTCTACACTTCTGGTTCCGTTCGAAAAGCCTCCCCAATTCGACGGGATTAGCCGGCCTCTTTCTATCGTTTTGCAAGGAGCGACGGATTACGTCGCTGCTAGATTACGGTGGGTACTCGTTGTTCGCGATAAGAGGCTTGTGTTTGCTGGCGGAATTTTGTAGCTTGTGAAGTATGATTTTTGAAGGGGTTTCCTGAGGTTCAAATAGGTAAATTGATTTCTATGAATTTGAGAGGTTTCGAGGAATTTGGGATGGAGTGTTCGGGTTGAAGTTGAGGGAAAAGAAATTTTTCTCACTTGTTTTTTTTTTTGTGTTTTATGTGAGTGAGATCTGAGCAATTTTATTCCGAGCAGAAATGATGATTTATGGAAGTAAAGATTGCATCTGAATTTTTGCAAATTTCAATACCAAAGTACTGTTTATTTTTCCGTTTTATCCATTTTCTATCTGAAAACTCCCAGCAGGAAAATAAATTTTTGCAAACTTCAATAACAAATCTACTATTTAATTCATAGCATTTCTTTAGTATCTATTTTGCCATTTTATTCACTTTCTATCTGAAAGTACAACTTACCACAGATTAACAATCTTAATCTTTTCTCCCCAACAAAGAATCGTCAACTTCTCATCGACAGGAAATTGCAGAAACATCACAGATAAATCTCACCAAATCTCGAAACTCGAATACCTCATTCAGCAAAACGTTCCTTCGTCAAAGATGAAATAAGCACGATTATTCAAACTCGTTTAAACCTCCACAAACTCTGTTCCTCCACGCGCAATTCTCTTCCTGTCTGTAGCTTCGCGAGCTACAAATTTCACCGGAGCAACTTTGCCTGAAAATGAATTATCATAGTTCTACAATGGTGTAAACGTGATGGTAATCCGAAAGTTATATTTAGAAGTTGTTCGTTATCGACGTCTGTACGCGCGCTAATGCCGTGTTTTATCGCGTTTCACACTCGCACAATGCGAGCACGCGTGGCGAAAAGGGGGACTCAGGCTGTTTGATGGTACGGTCGAAATGGCAAAAGGGGACGGCCAGCCTCTAATTCGATTAGAAAGTTTATACCCCTTCGGCTGACGTTTGCGCAGCCAGCAGCCGCTTTGAAGACTTTCGACTTCTGTGCGGAACAGCGGTTGCTGCGAATCTCTGTCGAGATAATGGCACCCAGGGCTGGAAAGTGTCGACGAATCACCAGTGATAAATTTCTGTTGAATAGACTAATAAATTTCGTCGATTCCTTATCTTCGATGTCTTTGAGTTTAACCCTTTTTCCATATCTTCGCGACTAAACAACTATATACCCTTGAATTTAACTTCCTTTTCCATATCTTTACCATTTAAATAAGGGTACATTTTTCAATTTATCATTTTTTCCATATCTTCACCATTAAATAACCATATATTTTTGAATTTATCCCTTTTTTCTATATTTTCACAACTAAATATCCACATATTTTTGAATTTATCCTTTTTTCCATGTCTTCCATATTTTCACGATAATACGAAAACTCACAATTTTTTTTAAGTGAGCGTTTTTTTATAATTAGCGTCATTGAAACTACATTTCTGCAATGTTTCAAATTTTTTCAAAAATTTCCCAGTTACCAAACTTCCCTCGTAAAATTTAAAGCCTCCTCTCTCTTGCATTTCACAGATCCACATTCAAATACCATCGAAATACATTCCAAAAAAATGATACACCTGCATTTTAAACACTTGCTCACGTTCTCACCTTGATCCCATTAAAGCTGAAAGTATTCTTGCACACGCGAGTGCATCTATTCGACGTTTCCTCTTTGCGTTCGCGCACTCGAGAATCCACATTATTTTGCAGCTAGTGCAACGTAAACACACCGCGGTTCGCTCTGGGATCTAGAAAGAAACCCGATCGAAGTTTCGTCGCGAACTTTTACGCAGAAACTGCTTCTATGTCGTCGATGTAGACACGCGAGAACTTCTACGGAAGCTTCTTCAAGCTAATAACTTTCCACCGGAGTTACTTTGACTCTCGTCCCTTCCCTCGTTTGCCACGCGTTTATATACTCCTTTTTTTCCCTTGGTTTTTCTACCGTACGACAGTTTACGAACTTTCTTCTTCGCTGCATTTGATTACGCTAGGTAGCAATAAAAGTTAGTAGTGTTTCTTCTTCTTCTTTCGTAGCATTGATATTGTACGGGGAAAATAGAGTGGAAAGTTTTTATTTCTCAGCAGAATCGATAGAGGTTTGCGTTGCTTGGATATCACAGGGAAATTGTGAAATATGAATGAAGCGTTTATTTAAGAATAGAACGTGGTTTTCTCGCTTCTCGAGTGGCGCAGAATTTTGCGGAATATTGTGCCTGAGAATTGCGAATTCGCGTTAGAGAAAAATCCCGATACTTTTGAAGCGCTTCTATTCAGTTTGCAGCAGATTTGAAGTGGTCGGTATAAACTTAAGATTCTAAAGAAAGTAATGTAGGTATAGAAAATAATGTTAAATTAAAGAACACTATCAATGGTAAAAATATTATTAATACAATAATTAATTCAATGGTTCTTTAAAATATTAAGAAAAATTCTACCGAATTTTCCTTGAACCTGTAATTATTCACTTTCAATTCTCAAAGTATGCAAAAATAATGCAAAAAATCGTTCACCGTTAAGAAATTCAATAAATCTGTATCAGTTTATTCTTCAAAATAACTATTGTATAATTATTAAATATTGGTAAATTAATTTAACGTTTCCAAGAGTTCGCCAATTTAATCCTGTATTCAGTAGCTTTTAAAGAGCAGTTACTCCAAAGTAGATTTCCCGGTCTTTCGAGCCACTCTACCTCTCAAATAACCCATTCTACTCCTCGAATAGCTGTCCGTTGACACATTTAATTCTTGAGTTTCCGTTCGCCGTGCTATTTTCCCCCGGCGAAATCACGGCTCCTGCCTGGGTCCGCGAATAGTTGGTCCGTGAACACGAAACGAACGTAGCCGCCGTTGGAACGACGAGGATTTCTTGTTCCGGATCCATTTCGGTCGTTCGCGAGATCCCCTAAGTGTACCCGACGTCTTGTCCCACTCTTGGGCCTCTTTTTCTCCGTCGCCGAAACCGCCACGCCGGAGAATTCTACTTATTACATTGCTTTAAACCGCGTCCCCTTCGAGATTAGCTAATTTTAAAAGTCGAACGGTGGATCTTGGTTCGGCGCGATTGTCCTGCCGCGGAAAGAGGCCCTCTCCAGTCGTCGATTTCGCGCGACAAAGTCATCGGCTTTCAGGGAACCGGGTTAAATATTCTTAGGAAGAAAAAGTCGGAGAGACGTGCGGATGTTTCGGTAATTAGGGGAAAGTGATGGAAGTGGGTGAAAGTGTTCGCCTGGGAGTGTTGAGATGTTCCTTCGGGGAGTTTGGAAAGTAAAAGGGTGAACTTGATTTGAAGTATTAAGCTGAGAATGATTTCTTTCTGTGAGTGTTTTTATTTTCCTTCTTGTGCACTTATTTAATTTCTTTTTTTTTTTTTTTAAGAAATGGGTACTTTTCACTTCTCTTCTTGTGCATTCCTTTAATTCTTTTCTGTTTTTTAAGAAATGGCTAAGTTTTACTTTCCTTCTTGTGCATTCCTTTATTCTTTTTTCTGTCCTTTAAGAAATGGCTAATTTTTACTTCTTGTGCATTCCTTTATTTTTTTTTTTTTTTCTTTTTTTGAGAAACGACTACTTTCTTTTACTGCGTTCCTTCGTATGCTGTTCTCAAGTTTGTTAATTTTTGCTGGGCCAGTGTTTTCTAAATTATTCTAACTTACTACAAGAAGCATGTTTCACGAGTCAATTTATAGTGCAAAAAATGTAGAATATCTTCAAAAATCCTCCATTCAGTCATAAATTCAGGCACATGTTCACATTCCCATTTATCCAAATAAATCCGCCCCTTTTCCCAGGCTTGTGTACAACAAAGTAATCAACAATATTCCCGCATACCATCAAATGTCTCTCCAAATTTCACCGTCACAAAGTACAATCACTCATTTCCAAAATTCCTTCAATTTTCCATGTTCAAAACTTAAAACTCGTCAATTTTTCTACCAACACCGGTGGTTTGCAATACGTTAAACCGTTCCGTTGACCTAGAAGCACAAGTTCCGGAACGAAATTGCGGAAAAAGCACAGCCTATATACACAGACCGAACACGCGTTTCCGCTGGTTGGGACAACCTGGTCCCTTGACGTAAGTGGTAGCCATTACGCGTTTTAAGTCCCGTGGAATATCTGGCTGCGGAAACCCCGCGTTTCGCCACTCGTGCGCGGCACGAGAGAACTCGTTGAATTTATTCGTACACCCTCTGCGCGCATAATAACCATCCTGGGCCGGCTCGAGTGTTTTTTTCCCCTCCCCGGTGGTAGCTGAAAGAAAAATTTCCCTCGTTATATGGTATCAATGACGGAATCTCGAAGTGGAGACGGTTCGACGACGAAATTCCTCTTGCTCGCCAGTTTCCCGGAATAAAGGAATATTTCTTTGGCGTCCGGTAATGGGAGCCTTGAGGGTGGAATGCATTCGGTTTTGATCAAGGAGGAATGATAATTGGCTTTCCTAAAATAGAGTTTTCTCGGTGGAAGTAAATAAGCTCTGCAAGGAGTTTGTAAAATTTGGTGTAGTTGGGATGGAAGAAGATATTGTTTTGTTGGTTAATTGGTATTATACATTGGCAAGTAATTTATTGTTCCTCTGACTATTTTTTTGAAATTATTAAATTATCATTTTCAAATTTATTAATTTTGTGCAGAAATTTCAGTAGGAATTACATATTCAAATTTATTAATTTTGAATAGAAATTGCAGGAGAAGTTACATTTTTTAATTTACTAATTTTGAATAGAAATTACAGGAGGAATTATTGTCAGAATTATTAATTTTTAATAGAAATTTCAATAGGGATTATTTCCAAATTTATCAAATTTGAAATTATTTCAAAAAACAGTCCCTTTAATTATTTA